AAAAACTTTGTTGTACCTCCAGGAATAACAGCAGGAATTGAGTTTGTTTTCTTGATGGCTGCTTTCACCGAATCCGTGATGTGGACCCGCATACTGTCCAATATCGTATCTGTTGAAGATCCGTCGTGTCGTGTCTGCTACTAGCTAAAACAAAATGGCGATACACCTCTGGCTAAGCTGGCAGTATGGTCGCTCAGCTGTTGACAGGTCGACGCGCCGTCACGTGATTGTTCGGCGTTTGTTTTCTCACTGACCTTTCATGATTCCCCCAAGAAACCCCGAGCCAAGCTGCTGGGAAAGCCCTCCCGCTCCAGCATACGTAACTGCATGGGATTCCTTCCCGGAGAGTGCAATGCAGAAAAAAAAAGTTTGCGTCTCTTCACTCGACGTTTATCCACAAACTGGTCCTGGATTAAGCTCCAAAGTTTTTATCAGTCAGATTCCACCATGAAAAATGTCTGTTTTATCCCCTTTTATGAGTTTTTGGCCATTGACTATCTTTAAATCGCTGCTTCCTGGTACAACAGTCGACTTTTTTCTTCTTTTTTTTCCTTTTTTTTGAAGCGAGTGGTTGAAGCAAACACAGAGTAAGAGCCCCCTGGTGGCTGAAGAAAAAAATCCACATATAAGCCGCACCAGACTATAAACTGCATGGTTCAAAGTTCAGGAAAAAAGTCGCGGCTTATAGTCCGAAAATACGGTAATCCTCATTTCGATATGATGGGTCACAAATATGCATACATGTCAACCTATTCAGATGTTTACCTGTATAAAGAGCCTCAAAAATCTGTAAATTTGCAAAAAGGCCATACAACTCGCACCCGCGGGTGGGGGGTTGGAGGTGGCTGCGGACATGAAAGCACCTGCTGCGAGGCAGGAGAGCGGAAAAAGTTCAAAACTTATTTGTAGCAGCAGAACAGTTTGGAAGATGGCTGTTTGATGTTATTTATTGTTTTTAAATCATCCTATAGGCTCTGACATGTTAGATAAATTTGAAAATGAGGTTTTGAAAAAATCCGTAAGACTTGAAAAAATCCGTGAGATTGCTCTATACGTCCGTATACCTGCAAAATGACGTAAAATTCTTATAACTTACGGACAATACGTACAAGATGACATATATGTATATGATATTACATTTTCTATCTTGTTCTATTTGGTCTTTAGGATGTACGAGCATTTGTCTAAGTTTTCTTTGTGGTTTGATAGCTGAACTAATGTGGTGTTTCTTAAAAGTCCTTTGGATGCGTTCCATGATTCCTCTGATATATGGTAGCATGACCATTCCTTGGTTTTCTGTTCTTTCTGATTTGTATTTTTTTCTTTTCTTTTTATGAATCGGGATGAGGCGGCCTACGAGCTCTCATATATTGTCCCTGGAATGACATCGTCCAGCAGTGAAGCCAGCAGGGGGAGCTGTCGGCTTGTCAATATATATTGATGAACCGACGCCGCCTCCAATCATCATCAGCTGTGACACCTCTGATGAAGACGGAAGTTACTCGTGGAAACATGTCAGGTATGTCTGTATAGACATAAAAATAACAAAATGTTTAGTAATTAGGAAAACGTGGTAAGATTGATCATATAGACACAACAAACTTCATTAGATTAAAAACCAAAGGAAAGCTAAAAACTTTATATCGTCCCGAGCTACTAGAGGGAGCTGTTGTAGTATTCCTTTTCTTTTTTAAATTCTGTTGAGTCAAAAAGTGAACAAGTCTGTTAAAGGTTGTAGAAAATAAAAAGAATAAACGTTAATCCTCTCAGTGTTTCGACCCAGATCCATCAGAACTGGCTCTCGGACCGGTCCTCACCCAGTCCCAGCTCCATGTCTCCAGGCGGCAGGTCGAAGGAGGGCCGGCAGCCGGGCACGCTGCAGGGAGACAGGCTCACACCGAGAGTACCTGAGACACCAGACCCAACAGGATGAGCCATCAGGACAGACCTTCCTCCTGCCAGAGGTGAAGGAGGGAAAACAAACTCACCCATCCCCTTCAGGACCTCTGTCACCATGGCAACGATGTGGTCCAATGAGCAGCCTTCTTCTGCCAGTGCTCCCGCCAGCTGAGCATCACGGGAAACGTAGTCAGTGTTTCTGAAAACTTCAATGTTTTTGTAAAAGCTACGACAAGACTTCACGTTGTAAGTAAAAAATATATCTTATCTGACAAAACAATTTTATAAAGTGTTCCAGCAAATCTTAGAAAGCTAGTCTAGCTAATCTGCTATTAGCGGAATTAGCTACTCATTTAGCGGATTAGCTTTTTTGCTAACCGATCGATTAGCTTCAGCTAATTTTAAACCCACTAACAGGACCTCTCTCTGAGTAGATCGTCTTTGAGAAAAAGAAGGTCTCGAGCTTAAAGTAAAACCTGCACCTTGTGTATGAAGACGGTGCCGCACAGGCCCCTCCTGCCAGCCTTGCTGGGCCGGTCGAAGGCGCAGTCCTCTGCAACTATCACCATGTCCACAGGGACCCCCTGGTTACGAGCCTGCTCGGCAGCCAGTCCAAAGTTGAGGCGGTCTCCTGTGTAGTTCTTCACGATGAGCAGGACTCCGGAGGCTCCTGCAGAGGGACGAGTGTTCTCCTGATTTATACAGTCAGGCAGTGGTGGGCAGCACTAACCTAAATATTAGTTCCACTAACCTTAAAGCACTAACTCTAATATTTAGGTCCCTTAATTCTAAAGTACTAAGTCAAATATTTAAGTCCCCTAATTCTAAAGCACTAACTCAAATATTTAAGTCCCCTAAATCTAAAGCACTAACTCAAATATTTAAGTCCCCTAATTCTAAAGCACTAACTCAAATATTTAGGTCCCCTGATTCTAAAGCACTAACTCAAATATTTAGGTCCTCTAATTCTAAAGCACTAACTCAAATATTTAGGTCCCCTAATTCTAAAGCACTAACTCAAATATTTAGGTCCCCTAATTCTAAAGCACTAACTCAAATATTTAGGTCACCTAATTCTAAAGCACTAACTCAAATATTTAGGCCCCCTAATTCCAAAGCACTAACTCAAATATTTTGGTCCCCTAATTCTAAAGCAGTAACGCAATGAAAAGTTTAGCAAAAGCTAATTCTAAAGGACTAATATAATCCAGACAATATTTACTGTGTGCAGGATGTTGTCACTTAGTGCCCTTGGTGGGCCAAATGGGAGTCACCCGCAGGCCACATTTGGCCCGCGGGCCTTGAGTTTAACACATATCCTTGTAGATAAGAAACACACATATGAACCAAATGTGTGACAGCTTTCACCCTCAACTGTGAACAATAACGTTGATCAATTACGTTTATACACCTCAGTTAGTGCTTCTAAATTTGGCGAGTGCTAATCCACTAATGAGTTTAAAAATAAAAAATAAAAAAGCCCTAAAGGACTAATGAAGAAACAGTGGTGGGCACAGTTCCCCTAAAGCACTAATAGGGGAACTAATTTCCTGATTAGTGCTTTACGGCTTTTGCTAATTTTAAAACTTATTAGTGGATTAGCAGTTGCTAAATTTATAGGTTAAATTTAAAAGCACTAACTGAGGTCTATAAATGTTGTTTATCAACATTAATGTTAACAGCTGAGGGTGAAAGCTGTCGCACATTTTGTTCATATGTGTGTCACTGATCCACCAGGTGACAATATATGAACCAAATACAGCTGTGGAATGTCAATATTAAGTATTAAGAGAGCAACATGTTAATATGTGACTCATGATGTCTGTTGAAGAATGTTCATAGGTTGACTGGGTTATTTTAGTGCTTTAGAATTAGGGGACCTAAATATTTGAGTTAGTGCTTTAGAATTAGYGGARCTAAATATTTGAGTTAGTGCTTTAGAATTAGGGGACCTAAATATTTGAGTTAGTACTTTAGAATTAGGGGACTTAAATATTTGAGTTAGTGCTTCAGAATTAGGGGACTTAAATATTTGATTTAGTGCTTTAGAATTAGGGGACCTAAATATTTGATTTAGTGCTTTAGAATTAGGGGACCTAAATATTTGATTTAGTGCTTTAGAAGTAGGGGACCTATGGCTAGTGGAACTAATTTTTAAATTAGTGCTGCCCACCACTGTCAGGAATTGAGTTCCCCCATTAGTGCTTTAGGGGAGCTGCGCCCACCACTGCAGTGAGGCATGGTGGTCCTGGAGGACAGATTACCTGCTTCACTCAGGGTGAGGATCGCAGCCAGGATGCTGGTGGGAGGCGGCGAGGCGAACACTCCTCCCGCCACGGCAGCAGAGAGCATGCCCGCACCGACGTAACCTGCAGACACACAACAGACCAGGTGAAAACCTAATAATCAGAGCAGATGTCGTTAAAAAGGTGTGCAGCGTTTCACCTGCGTGGGCCGGCTCGTGGCCTGACCCGCCTCCAGACAGCAGGGCCACTTTGCCCTTCAGGTGGTCCAGGTCCGAGCGAAGCACGACCCTGTGGCCCTTCAGCAGAGAGAGGCCCCCAGAGGCCCTGACCAGGCCACAGAGAGCCTCGTCCACGCAGCTGTCCACTGAGTTGATCAGCTTCTTCTGAGGCTGGGACAAATACACAAATAAACAACAATTATTTAACATTTTCATGCAAAATACATGCAACTGAAAATTACACTCTTTGACATTCAACAAACACACAATTCATTAGTTAAAATGTTGATAAATCTGCAGAATAAAGTTTTATTTGCATAACAATCAATAAAAAAGACACGATTTACAGCTGATAATGACTGAATGGACTCTGATCCTTCCAGTTATCGCTAGCTTAACTTCGCTGCTAAAACTGCTGCATTAAACACAACAAATCAGCATTAAAACCAGGTGAACAGTCAGTGCATGTCTTCCTCCATGATCAAAAACCATATTTTAATTTAAGTTTACCTCCATTTTAACCTTTCCTGCTTCTGTTCTCCTCTGCAGCGGGTTAACCAAGCCGCGTTAAGCTAACAGGATGTCGATAGGTGCAAACCGGATGTTGTGAAACTTTAAATACAAAATAAAGGCACACACTTCCTTCAATGGTTAAAATATGTTGAAAATTAAATATCTTCTAAGAAACTCTGCGCTATGAAGGTCACACATATGTAATAAAATAACTAGTGTTTTAATTGTAAGCTGAAAGACGTGGAGTTAAGTCATGTACCTTTGGAATTATTTTGAAAGGCATTTACAGGAAATGTTATTTTATTTGTTTGTTTCCAGTTACTTTACATGAAACAATCTGACGGAATGTACCATAAAATATATGTCATATGTAATAAAACTACCAAATGAATAACTTATTTGCAAACAAGCATCTTTAAATAAAATAAAAAAGTTCAAACAATTAGGTAAACCCTGATTTAAAAAATAGTTGAAAGGATGATGTAGAAAGAAGTTCACGAAAATACTTTCAAATGTAACACTGCCTATTTGGGACAAAAATAGTTAAATAGAATAAAATAAAATGCTGTTGTTTTAGCTCAGAAATATATACTAAAGTCACATAGCTGATTTGTACTGTTTTATTTCCCCAATTAGAGGCCAAGTCATTCTCATGATAAATTTAAAAATATGAATTTTATGTTTTAAATTTGCAAATTAGGTTAAACATGGAGAAAATGGGTCAGTTAGTTTTATTAACAGAGAACAGATTTAATACATCAAACGATCAATTTAATCAGTTTAATTTAACATGTGTATTCATTAATGCACTGTTTGTAAACGTGAATTAGTCCTTTATTTAAAACATTAACTCCGCACAGATCCGCCCTGTTATCATTTTAACGCACAGAGTTAACCCCGCCCGCCCGGGCCACTCTGCGAAAACATCAAATGCACACCGCGCTCGAAGGTTCCTCCTCCCAGTCCGTCCGCTCACCGCCGCAGCTCCGAACCGTCCAGACAGAGCAACATGCAGGATGGCGAGCGTGGAGACAGCCGCCGAACACGAACGCATACTGCGGGAAATCGAGAGCACCGACACGAACTGCATCGGGCCGACCCTCCGGTGAGTAGGACCGCGTTGGCTGTCGCTGTCAGCCCCCACCCCGGGGCAGGGCAGCTTCACCGTCGTCGTCTCCCAGCTCCGGAAGCTCGCTCAAAACTTTAACACACATGCGTCCTTTATCGGACAGCTAGCTGGCTAACTTTAGCAAACAACAAATCTGACAGGATTATAACAAAGACTCGGGCGTTAAAACTTTGCCTAAATCCATCGACGGGCTGGACTCGCTTAAAATTTTTTGTCTTGACATTGTATTTTTTAGTTTTATATAAAATCTTTAGCAACTTATCCACAAAACATCTGAAGCTACTTGATGCTAGCATTAGCTTCTGGAGCTAACTGGCTGGTGTTCTGCTCAGTTTTCGACACCAGCTTATTAAAAGTAGCTCAGCGCTCTTCTTGTCAAGCTGCTCTCGGGTTTGTGACCTGCTTTTATGAAGAATATTTAATTAATCTTTGTTTGGTTAAACAGCAGCTAATCTTTAGCTGTCAGGGAGTGTCAGTTGCAGCTGCCCAACAAACCCAGCTTCAGGTCCACTAAACTCTTCACCTCATTCCTAATCATTGTAAGTAAAAAGTCTTATTGCTCAGATTAATGGTCCAAACAGAAACTCCACACAGATCATCTCTTAATGTTTGTAGCTGAGTGTAAACAGTCTGAGCTTGTTTTCAGACATCCTGCTCGGAGTTTTAGGTGGAACAGGTTAAAGATGCAGCTGGTTTTTTCCGTCCACTTTTGGACCTGAAACGGGTCACAGCTTGTTTTCTCCTCAGATTTTCCACGTTGGATGCTGGCTCAGAACGTTTGGACGCAGATATGTTTGTTTACACCGTTTTGATGAAGAAAGAAACAAGCTCAGAATGTAATAATTGATGACTAATAATCAACTAAAGAAGATTAAAATGTCAATAAATCAGTGTCTGATCACAAGATGATGGCTGAGGAGGGCGTAGGGTCAAGACGTGCTCCGCTCTGTGCAATGAAATCTCAAGACTATCAAGGCCTTATAATAATATTTTCCCAAATTCTGCTTTTTCCACTTTTTATGAATTCCACATTTTCATTCTAACCACATTTATTAATGTAAAAAGTGTTATAAAACTATTAAAAACTCATTTAACTAAGGAATAGCTGCAGAATTAAACATTTAATAACTAATTATTTCACAAATCGTTGTGGTTCAGCAGTAAATTCAATGCTTTTGCAAAGTTTTACCTGCTTTTTAAAGAACAAAAGACGTGCAAAACATATAATCTCACTTAAAGAGTAACTTACCCCAAAATAAAAATTTTTTAGCTGATAAACTGTCTAGAATGTGTCTAAAATGTTATATAGTACTGTTTCTGTGCTAATTTTGATGTTTTTGTGCGTATTTGTTCAAATCTGTAATATTTGGTCTAAAAACGTCTTTTTGCTGCTCATATGAGTATTAAGTAGTAAAAGTAGTACTTTTAATTGCTCCATAGAACAACATGCACCAACAGTACATCTGAGG